GGCTGCCCGGGCATGAGGAGCTGAGCGTCTCCAGCGAGGCTGCTGACGGCGGCACCATGCAGGCGGCGGCGGCTGCGTCCGTGCCCTTCTTGCTGCTCTGCGCCCTGGGGACCTGCCCCCAGGCGCGCTGCGGCCGCGCAGGTAAGTTCACCACCCTCTGTGGTTTAGGGACGTACCATTTGCCGGGAATCTCTGAAGCCCGCAGACACATTGCAAAGGGGCATCCCCATTTCCCGAGCGCGCGGGGAGATTTTTTTTTATTTGGAAGGGTGGTGAGAAGTGGAGAAAAAATACGTGTGGGGGCGCGCGGATGCATTAGAAGCCTTCGGTCGGATGTCCTTCTTTTGAAGAAGAGGCACGGGGAGCATGGGAAAGGGGTGCTCTGCTTCTGGGCCCCTATCCTGGATGCGCTTAGAGGAGCCGGTCCGAGGCTCTCCGCTGGTGTCTGCGTCCTTCCCAGCTGGGGTCCGAGAGGGAGGGGGCGGTGGAATTTTCAGAGGGGAGGGGTCGGGCCGCTCGACGGACGATTGTGAATGGGGGTTATTATTTTCGCGTTTTCTCCCCATTCCCTCCGTGTCCCCTTTCTGCCTGGAGGAGACGCCTCGCTGACGGAGCTGGAGAGGAGGAACGAGAACGGCTTCCTGGAGCGCCAGAGCATCGTGCCGCTCCGGCTCCTCTACCGCTCCGGCGGCGGAGACGAAACCGGGCACGACGCGCTCAACACGCGGGTGCGGGGCGACCCCAGAGGCGCTCAGGTGAGAGGCGCGGTCCGGGAGGGTGGCCCTCGCGCGGCTCTGCCCACCCGCGACTCCGCGTTTGCTCTCGGTTGCCCTGGAGATGCTGTGTTTTAGGTGAAACGAGCGCAATCCTATTGCTAGTCCAGCAGGGCGCTCCCTGTGCAAGAAAAGAACGGAAAGCGGGGACAAAAACCCCAGACAGCCGCAGGCCAGGGACTTGGCTGGAGAGGAGTTCGTGCGGGATCCCTCCAGCAGTGCGGCAACTGAGCGAAAGGGAGGAGACCCTCTCTCTTGTCTCAAGCAAAGCGGGGACCCTTTTACTCGTATCTAATGCATACGCGCTCCCTTCCAAATAAAAAGCAAGAAGGGATAGAACATTTGGGCATTATTTGCATCATTATTATTGTTGTGGTGGTTTTAATGTTCAAAGAGAGGACTTTATAAGCGATTAAACCACCATTGGTACTGTAGAAAATTGTAAAAACAAACCTAGAGATCCCTAACTAAACTCAAACCATAAAAAGAAGCTAAACTGCAAGGTTCTCAGCTCACTCAGCATGTGGACACCAGAGATGTACTCATTCACCTCCACTTTCCAGGAAGGGCAGTCCCCTCCCTGCTTTCTTCTTGGTAGCAGCCTTCTTGGTGTAATTAGGACCATACTATTTATTGGGCATTTGTTAATTATGTTTTTAAAAAAGATCTAAGTTTACCAGTTACCTATGTTTAGATTAATATCACACATCCACAGGTATGCTGAAAATTATTTTGAATTTACTGGTTAAGTTCAGTAACTACTTGGGGCTCTGTAAACATTTTTTGAATTTATATACACGAGTCTGGCAACCAGTTCACTCACCTACCATCAGTGCTTATGAAAATAGAACTTAAGTAGTTGAAAATTTGTAAACTTAACTGAAGCAAATTTACAATTTATCTATGTAATAAAAGAAAAATACTATTTAAATTTGTATTTGTAGCCAAATCTTAACATTTTAATATAAGTGAGGAGTTAATTTAAAGGGTTACAACAATACTCATCAAAGTTAGATTATTGTAGTAAAAAAATCTAATATGTCAAGCTTTTAATGAAATATTCCATTATTTGAATTAGTGTTTGGTAAATCCTGTTGTTGTTTTTTTCATTTTAATTTGTTTCTGTAGTAAAACTGAAGAAGCAGGGGGGCACCGTCTTATTTTTCAATACGTTAGAATTATTTCTGTAGAGGAATAAGTTTTAAACACAGAAAAGCAGAATATTGTAATGAACCCCCAGCTTCCCAATTAGCAACTCATATTAATTACCAATTAGTCAACTCAATTACTAATCTTGTTTTACCTATATCCTACCTATTTTCTTCCCCTTCCTGTATTATTTTGAAGCAAATCATATAATTTCATTTATAAAAAGTTTTACTATGCATTTCTAAAAGATAAGGATTCTTTTAAAAATGTAACCATATTATATCTAATATAGAAATATTATATATTAAATATGTAAACATGTTAAAATATATAAAAACATATGTAAATATTATACATACATATTTAAGTTTGTTTGTTTGATCCAGGACCCAAATAATGTCTTTTTTTTTTCCCCAAATAATGTCTTTTGACTACAATTAGTGTGTGCATGTGTTTTATCCTCACCTGAGGACATTTTTTTCCACTGATTTTTAGAGAATGGGAGGGAGGGAGAGAGACAGAGACAGAGACAGAGAGACAGAGACATCGATTGGTTGCCTCCCTCATGAGCCTGACTGGGTTCAGGGATGGAACCTACAACCGAGGTATGTGCCCTTCCTTGACTGGTAATCGAACGAGTGACCCTTAAGTCCGCAGCCGATGCTGTAACCACTGAACAGAAGCCGTCAGGAGGCAGTGTGTTTTGTTTTAAGTGTCCTTAATGTATATTTTCCCCTCTATTTCTTTGTGTGTTTTTTTTCCTTGCAATTTATTCACTGACAACAGGGAGTCTTTCATCCTATAGAGTTTCCTACAGTGTGAATTTTTGCTGATTATAACCAGTACTTTAAAACAAATCACAAAGACTTTCTCAGAGAGGAAGGGAGACAGAAGGAAGTTGATGCAGAAAAAGAAAACTGCAGGATTGAACCTGAAAGTGCTGAGTCTGTGCCTCATGCTAGTACTGTCTTCAGGTACTCTGCGTTTCCCCTTCTCTGCGTTGGGGAAAGACCACCACTTTGGAAAACAAGCCAGTATACTCCTTTTCTGCCCATTTATGGAGCTCTACTTCTGCAGTTTTTTGATTCCTGAGTCTTTCCACTTGGGGCAGAGATACCTTGGGCCCCTGCAGTTTCTGCTTTCTACAGCAATAAACATCACAATTGAGAAGAATGGCTCTGCCCTTTGGTGAGGTGTGAATGAATTGGTAGGATATAGGTTAAATAGCATGAATAGATTATTAATTCAAGTCAGAAATGAAAATGAAGATACTGTCTTGTCATCGAAGTGATTATTTCAGGAAATCATCTCAGTGCCTGGCACGTAGTAAAGTACACACAATCCATCTGGTTGGATATCTGGATCACCTGGGGAGCTTTTGCAGTTTTCCGTACTCCTTAAATGATAGTTGGTTGTTACAAGGACTGAATCTGGCAGAGCTGTAAGACCTACTTGCCATATGCCAACTTTTCCTGCAGTTAGGAAACGAAGGAGTTTTCCTGCATTGTGGCATTTCTAGTTTTCTCAAGAGATGTAATTTGACCTGAAAACATGAGTTGATTGTATATGGTCCTTGTTATTTCTTTGGTAATTAAATAGATATAATTTATGGCATCTTAGCTACCCGTAGATATTTTTAGCAACTTCCTTTCTACTTCAGAAATAAAATTGGGATGATTTTGTGTCAACTCACAAAACATATATCATTTGTTGATTTATTTAAAGGCATTTATTTATTTGAGCCTCTTCTGTGTACCAACTTTTGTGCAAGGCCCTGGGGATTTAAAGAGAAAAGACACAGTTTTAGCCTTTAAGGGATTTACAGACAGGTGGGAAGATGGATGAGTGAATAAGCAGTTACATTCTGCCCATTTGTGGGATTTTCTGGAGGTGACCCCAGAAAGCTGTGGAAGCAGAGAAGACCTATTATTTAACCCAGGTGGGCAGTCAGGATGGACTTTCGGGGGGAGGTGCTGTGTGAGCTCTGTTTTGAGAGTGAGTAGGAATTGGCCAGATTAAAGGGAAGGGACTGGAATATGAAACCCAAGGGGCAGCAAGTACATAGGCATGTGGGACACATTTTTGTTAACCGCAAATAGTTAGGATTTAAAGGACAGATGAGACAAAACAGGAAAGCAGAGAGATGCTGCAGCACCTTTATGATTTGCTGAGGAATTTGGACTTTGTCCTAAAGGCAGTTGAAGGCTTTCAGAAGGAGAGTTAATTGACCAGATTTGTGTTACCGTGGGATAATCTTAATAGTTAGAAATGAATAGAGTTGGGGTTGTTTAATTCATAGGTAAATATCAATTCATGTACTCATTAAGCTTCATAAGAACTTAATTTATAAGTAGATTGAAAATACTGTATAAATGAATTAATATTTATAAAGCACTTAGAACAATGCTGGGCATATTGCAAATACTGTATGAGTTTTTGTTAAATAACAAACTCCTTCAGGCTTCTTGAGTACTATTTAGAAGTTTTGTGACATCACTTTAATGCAAAAATGGTGCCCTAATTACCTGATTTTAACACATTCCCACGAGTAAGTTACAGATTACTCAAATTTACATAAATAAGTGGAATCTAACAGTGCTAGAGATGGAAGAGACCTCAGAGGTCATCTACACTAATTCAGGAACTACTCCTCACCTGGTGAGAACAAGCCATTGGCCCAGAGTAAGGGAGCCAGCCATGTATTACTTGTGTTTTGGAGAGCTCGCAAGAACTGTGATAGTATAACATACCTCACTTGTACTCATAATGTGTCCATGTTTCAGTTTTTATCACTAAATGGAACACAACACATATTTTTGGGGAGAAATTTACATTTTAGTTCTGTGGAAATACTGGCAATTTGGTGTAAAATAATAATTCTGTTGATAGGAGTCTATTACTACATGGGCAGTTACGTGAATGCATACTTTATTATTTTTTTATTTTAAAAAATACTTTATTTTTATTCTAGGTGGGATGATCAGCTCATACTGAAAGCTTATTATGCCATAAAGTCCTAGAACTGATAGTCAGAGAANATCAGCTCATACTGAAAGCTTATTATGCCATAAAGTCCTAGAACTGATAGAGACATCATATTTGATTGTAGATAACCTTGCTATCCTCCAGGTTGTCTGCCTAGTCTGAAGTAATGTCAGTCCTGTAAAATAGCACTCAGAACTATCATATCCAAAATACTCAGTGTCTTTCTTCTGACTTAAAATTATTTGTGTTGAAGGAATTGTATGTTTGCAGATAAAAGGACAAAACTATTTTTTAACGACACCCATATGGGCAAGGTAACACCTACTGAGTCTTATTGATGATTTGATACTCATAATCACAAAATTGCTATTTTTAAGATTAAGCACCTTAATGGTTACTCCTTTTTTGCTAGCCACCCATGACAGATTTCTGTAGCATCAAAGATAGATAATTTGGTGATTTATTTTGTTGTGCGGTACCCCATCAATTTCCAGTAATTTGTTTTTCACCCAGTGATCACATGTCTCTACAAATAACAGAATTTCTTTTTGTTAGAAGTCTTTGTTGTCAGCGAATAGATGGGCTGCTTATTCCTCTGTCTCTTTCCCTGGAAAGTGTTGTAGCTTTTCAAATAGTTGGTCAGGTGCCAAGAACATGGACCTACAATTTGTCATAGTTTTGATAATCATTAATGAACGGGGAAAGTGCAAGATAGCAGCAAGAGGCAGGCTGTAGGAGTGCTCCCTTTTCACAATTATATTTATACATATGCCTGAGCACGGATGAGCTGTACTTAAAAATTGTGCTGTTTCACTTGGGAGCTCTGAGTCAGCTTGATGGTAAATTGT